TTCTACCAGGTGCAGAGCAAAGCACAGAAAAATGAAGATAGTCTGTATATATACAAGGACAAATACTTAGATAAGGACTTATTTAATGATAGATGCCTCTAGATAGATATGAAGTAAGGTGGCCTAAGGTTCTAGATTAAAATATGAATAGTTTTGGTGTAATTTTTTATAAGAAAGATCTCTCATGCTCCATTTATTTTTGTTTTAAAACTGCTTTTTGTCTACTTTGCTAAAAACTACAGAGACAACTGACAATTCAGTCTAATTACTTAAACTTTCCAATGTTCTAATAAAGACTTTTTTGAACCTATAAATATTACTTGAAGGTGTGGTGTAGAGCCTGGCCCTGATGTTGCTCGACTGGCAAAGAAGGTGATGTCCCTGTCCAATATTCGGTTTAAAGGTTTACACTGTTACAATGGGTATGTTGTTTTTTTCCTTATAGAGAATTACAATAGACACTTTGTCAAGAACTGAACAAAGGTTTCTGTGTCTTGACTATTGATTACTGGTACATATTACACACTTTGTCAAGAATTAAATAAGTTTTTCCACTTCTGTTGCAGGAGAAACCAACATATTAGAAGTTTAGCTGACAGACAAACAGCTGTTAATGAGGTCATCGAGAAAACAAAGTTGGCTTTAAGTGTAAGGTTATAAATGCATTTACTAAGATTTTATTTGGTCTTAGTGGCTCTAAGATTATATTATATCCAGTAAGGTTGGCAAGATTAAATTTATTCTTGAATTATTTTAAAAGAAATATTTAGCTAAGAACGGAACTAAATAATGTTCTTTGCAATTAAACATGAGAATTTTTATAACACAGGCACTAAAAGAGAGTGAAATTGAATGTAACTATGTGACAGGTGGTGGAACAGGAACATTTCATCTAGAGGCTGCAAGCGAAGTCTTCACTGAAGTACAACCTGTATCCTTTGATAGAATACTTGTATCTTTTGATAGAATACTTGTATCTTTTGATAGAATACTTGTATCTTTTGATAGAATACTTGTATCTTTTGATAGAATACTTGTATCCTTTGACAGACTACTTGTATCCTTTACTTGTGTCCTTTGATAGACTACTTGTATCCTAGGATAGAATGAGTAGCTGAGAGGCATAAACTGCTTGGCTACCTAGCATGGAGACTAGCTTCAAAACCCAATTTGAGTTGTGTTTGCTTAGCAGCAACAGGCAGAACAAAAACCTCCCAGTTACTCCCTCTCCTAATGGTCCACTAAAGAGATTGGACCATAGTGCACTGAGCATACTGTGGCATGAAAGATATGCTATATATAGCAATTTAAAAAAAAAATGTATTACAGCATGTATATCATTGGATATGCTCAAGGATAATAAAAAAAATATTTTTATTATAAATATTTGAGCAAAATGTGTTTTTAAAGAGTTAAGAGCTGAAAGTCACGTGATACACAGCACCTGTATGTTGTAATGTGAATATTTATCCACTATGAATTAAATGGCTATCACATTTTGTAATATTGGCATAACTAAGAACATAGGAGAAAATAAATGCATTGAAATAAATTGTCTTTTTCTACTAAAAAAATGTTGATCCAATGTTCCTTACAAAAAGGGTTCTTATGTTTTCATGGATGTAGATTATGGATTGAATCTTGATGGTGAAGAGAAGTTTGTCTCAGAATTTCAGCAATCTCTGTATATTCTGAGTACAGTACAAAGTGTTGTAAGTCAATGCTATGAAATTAAGAAAATTTATTCAACACCTAGTTCCCAAGTATAAATGATATTTCAGAAATATACAAGCAATAAAGATGTATCATATTTAAAACATTTACTCAGTTTCTCTAAAAGTCTTAATTCTCTGTAAAAATGTCTGTTTCCATCGTTTGCTTAAATTTCAAGTAGCCTGCTTTCAGAACTACTGGTACTTTTATAACTTTTCTATTGCAGTTTTGACTAAATAAAAGCAGTTAGGGCAGGGGAAAGCTCTACTCTTCAACCAATCAAAGGCTTTTTAGTATAGTTTAATTAACAACTATTTAAACAAACAGGTTACTGGTACCATATATTCTTAAAACTGTTGGAATTTTACGTTTTTTTTGCTAGCATATCAGAAAAAAACTTTTTTTTTAAAATTTAGCTTTGGTCTGCATTTTAAAATTACAACATTTTTTTCCTTATTTAATTTTATGAAGACAAAGGAAATACTTAGTAAATATCTGAAGATTTAGTATTGTATATTTATTTTTTCTTTCTATCGCTACATTGTTTCTGATATATTCAGGCTGAAAATAGAGCAATAGTAGATGTGGGGCTGAAGGCTGTTAGTCTTGACTCTGGTGTTCCAACTGTAAGTCCATTTACTTTGAATAAAATGTTGAAATTCGTTTTTGAACTTTTAATTATTACCGGTACTGTAAAACCTTCTTGCTGTCTGAATAGGATACCGGTATCGTATGTTAAATCTTCTCTTTAAAAATTCTTAATGGTTTAACTAAACTACAATTAAAAATCTGTGTTATAGTACTGGTATAACTTATGAATACCTGTATGGTTTCACTTTAGGTTAAAAATTCAGGTGATCAAGTGTATATAAGTGGAGGGGATGAACATGGAGTTATAGTTCCACCTGGTGATTTAAAGGTAAGATTTAATGTTTGCTGTTTCATATCTAGCATAGATTGACTATTAAGGTTAATCTTTTTAATCTCAGTTCTAAGTAAATGTGTTAAGTATACATACTTGTACAGTATATAGAAATTTATTTTCATCAACAATATTATAATGATGGTCTTCTTCAAAACCTGAATATGTTCAGTTTGTTTCATTAATACATAGGGTCTTTCTTTTTTGTTTTTATTTAATGCAAGTTGGTAGACAAAGATAAACTATCATTCATAAACCCTAAGAACTTGATTGAAAACATCACCTCCTCAAGGCTTATAACATTCAAATTGAACAATTTATTTGGTTCCTTAAAAATAAACAGTATTTGTCTGCTTCATTCTAGCCACCCAGCCATTATATGTACTTAGAATATGAATAAGGAAACTATTTGTTAAATACTGTAAGGCAGGATAAAATATTCAATTAAAAAAAAATCTAAGGGCCTTTACACACAGATTGACTTGTATCTATATATTTTTTTTGTGTTGATACTGAGAAACCATTATCCCTGTGATGTGTGAACCATTTGTTCACTCCCACTTCTAATTCTTGCCACTTAGCAACAAAGAGTGGGCTTTCTTTTGTAGTAGTTGTTGACTTTGGACTTACTTGAGTTGGGAACCCCCAGGAGAGCTTTCTGGCAGCATTCACACCTCTCCACTGAACTCGGTTCTGAGTAGCTTCATCTGGTCCCATGTCATTCCAGTATCCCTAGTTTTGCTGATGACTGATCTCTTCTAGGTTTGCTTGGGCCTGCCCACTTCCATCTTTCCTGGCGGACACCAATCAAGTGCCTGCCTTGCAACGTTGTTAACCTATTCAAAATGTACCTCTTCTGATTTTTCATATTTTTTAACATATTTTACTAGCAACAGTTTCAAAGTTTGATTTTGGTGTAGCAAGTAGAAAACTGGTATTACTTTGGACATTTTATCTAGTGGATCTTCTATTTACCTCAGTGCTTCCTTTTGCATCATCTCTTCTATCCCTTGACTTTCCTCATAGGGAGTGGCGCTGTGACAGTTCCCATAACCAAATCCCTCCATTTTTCCTGGTCAGGAGCTGTTCAAGAAAGATATCAAGAGAGAGACTGGTCCATTCTGTAACGTTGTCCTTTTCCCATGGTTACATAAAATTGTACTGGTACATTAGCTGAATATGATGAAGGATTTTTAAAAAGTTATTATGGCACAAAAAATACTTTTTATTTTTTTTATTCATGTGGATATAAAAAGAACTTAACACCTGTATATACATATCTTTTTTTTCTTTTACTGAAAAAGAAGTTTTACAAAATAAAAAAAATGCAATTAAGCTTTGAATTCTAATTGGTATGTATTCATCAAAGATAACTTCAGAAACAGAACCTGGAAATTTATTCCACACTTATCATTCACTGTTAAACAAATTCATTCCATATTATGAGTTTTACATCATAGTTTATGATTTGTAACGCTGCTTAAACTGAACTAAAAATAAATATCCAAACTTCCTTTTACTATTTTAGGTTGGTGACCAACTCTGGCTGATTCCAGGTCACTGTGACCCAACAGTTAACATGCATGAATGGATTGTGGGAATGAGGGATGGAAGGGTGGAAAGTATTTGGCCGATTGGTGGCAAAGGTCCGGGTATTTAGATTTAATATATTTAATGAAATTGTATAATTAGTAGTTCACATGTTGTGTTGGTTGCCATTAAAAAAATGGATTTCTTTCTTAATTCTACTATATTTGACTGACCACAGTAATTACAAACCACTATTGACTATTGACCACTATAATCTATTACAGATTTGCTAAATAACAAAGATTTATTTTCTTTCCAATTTTCAAAATGAAATGTAAAATAATATGTACATGATATACATCATTTCGCTTTTCTTTGCTTAGAGTTATGTGTTAACCCAACTTAATTTGAATCAGTCAATTTTAAAATTACTTTTGGTATTCCTTGTTCATTTGATTGTATAAACAAGCAAGGGTAACTACTCTGTTTGAATGCTCCCTCTTTGTATTAGACTGGCTGAATTTATTTATTATTTTATTTCTTAGTTGACTGTTTACCTCATTTACCTCATGCAAGTCATCCTATATGTGAGAAAAACAAATCAGCTCAGGAATGTTTTTGAAACAAATCTGCTTATAAGAGTTGAAGCATAGCTCAGTTTGAAACAAATCAGCTTGTTCCTCATTAGGGTTTTTTAAACAAATCAGCTTGTTCCTCATGAGAGTTTTGATAGCTTTTTCATGGATCCTGTCTTCTGTGAGATGTTGTCCAGCTCCTACCTCTGCACTGAGACTATATATAAAGTTGTCTAGCTCCTACCACTGCACTGAGACTAATTATATCAAGTTGTCTAGCTCCTACCACTGCACTGAGATTAATTACATCAAGTTGTCCAGCTCCTACCTCTGCACTGAGAAAAATGATATCAGTATCATTATAGTGGAATATTGTTTGGCTGGCAGAAAAACCTCTCATTGGTTGTTTACCATCCAAACATATCAAACACTAACTCCAATCTAGTGCAAACCCCCCCAGAAGAAAAAAAAATTAAAATGTGTTCAACAGTAGAATGGGAGGTTACTATGCATTTGTTATACAGAGTTTTATTTTATGTTAAAAAAAAATTATTTTATACTTTTAATTTTTCAAATAAAATTGTTGAAAAAAATAATTGTAGTTTTTTTGTATTACGATCTTTACTCACCAAATTTTTTAAATTTTTATTTTATTTTATTTTAAAGATAAATTGATTGAGCAGTTTATTCCTACATCACAATTTATAGATCTACCACTATGAATTAAATGGCTATCACATTTTGTAATATTGGCATAACTAAGAACAAAGGAGAAAATAAATGCATTGAAATAAATTGTCTTTTTCTACTAAAAAAATGTACAGTTAATTCTTCAAACTATCAAAGAACTTCAATGCTTCGCTTCATGTACCCAGTACCAACTTTGAGTTCTGGATGAGTGCCTTGTTGTCTAGAGTTAGGTTAGACATGTATAGATAGCCTGAGTGACATTGAATGGAATGTCTATAGATTAATATGACTGATACAGAGAGAGTGACCCCGACAGGTAGGCCTACAATAACTATTGTAAGTGTATTTAAAGAAGGTGTAAGCAAGCATCCAGGGGCGGACTGGTTGGTTATAGGCCTATGGGTATTCGGGCAAATGTCCGATGGGTCGGTAGGACACCTAAAGGGCCTCATGGATATCAGTATTAAATTGGGGTTGTACAATATCTTATAAAGGTGACTTTCATCATGATATACAATTTATGGTCCGGATAGTAAAGAAATGCCCGGGTCAATTTTGACCCCCAGTACGCCTCAAAATGTTCGTCTTGATTTTCCAGAAATGTGATCATGACCTATTTGTCTTTAGCATGAGCTCTAGATTTCAAATAATGTAAAGGCATTTTTCTTTTACTCATTGGCATATTAACTGATAAATCTAGCCGTGCTTTTTGGCTGCTTTCCAATGAGAGTTTGGCAGAATAAGTCTCTTCAACTGACTAAATTGCATACCTATATATATATATATATAATAGAATGCAGTAGTTCTCACAGTTCGTCAGTAAAGTTCCTAGACCTGGAACCAAAGGGCGATCTATTTCGAGGAGCTTAAAGTGTTAACAGAGGCACCCTCCTAAGAGGCAAACTGGGCCAGCCCATTGGGCTCAGGCAGGGGGCCCAGACAAACCCATTGAGGAGCCAGTAAGGGGATGGACTTGTTGGCCCCAACAGGGCCAAAGATACTTGACCCTATTCAGAAAGTATCGAGAGCTTGTAGGCAGGAAAGTGACTGTCAAGAGTAGTGCATTGTCTGGTGCCGCTGTTCAATGGGCTCGAGGGCACAGCTGCAGTGACGTCCGTTCGAACCAGTTCAAAAAGTCGCTCAATATTTCTCACACTCTGTTTTGATGTAGTTCCATGCAATCGCAGATTATGTGTTGTATTGATTGTTTTTTCAATATTCTTTTTGGCAGTGTCATCGACGTTATCACAGAACATAGCAAAGAAGGCTCCAGTCAGTTATATTCTAATTCTAGTTTAAATTAAAGAAAAAGTGCAGCAATATGTTTCTCTGTAATTAAACCTAGAGATGATTGATAGTTAACCCTTTCTTTAATATGCTATTTAAAAAAAATCTATTTATATAAGTAGTTGTAGATCAAGAATCAAGTCTCCAAATGAGCAGGACATGACCACAGACCCGACTTCTTGAGACAGTCTGGGATTGTTTAAACCGTAAAATGTGTAGGGGAGATAATCGAACATTCCTGTTTTTACAATGTTATTATTTAGACATGGCCGTATATATTGTTTTTAAGAACACGTAGCGGCAGGCTACGCCGATTAGATTTAGATCTAGACTAGACCTAGAAAAAATCTAGATCTATATTGTTGAATCGTATTAAGTTTTTTTTTTTAAAGTCTAGATCTATTATATTAGTAATTAGTATATAAATTGATCTAGATAGATTATAATGATTAATCATTATTTGATTATAATTATTATCATTATTGAGACATTATTCAATTATTGTACTGAATTTATAGATCTAGACATTATTCTAGTATTTTCTAGACTAGTTAAAAGTAGTTACTTACTTTACTAACTTAGTTAGTTAGTAATTAGTAGTAAGTAGTAGATTAATATTTAGCTAGAATACTGAATAGGCTAGAAGTTTAGAAGATGTACATTCTGACTTCACTCTGATTTATAATATTTAATATATATATATACTTGATTCTTGATAATCATTGATCTAGATCTAGATCTCATCTACCTGTTCTAGATAGATCTAATGAAATGATCTAATCGTAGAGATAGAGCACTAGCAGAACAAAGAAATCAATGTTAAAATCGTTTTTAAAAAATGGAAATACTTTAAAATAGATGATAGTAGAGATCTAGTCTAGATAGAATTTTAGACAATTTTTGTTCTTGACTTTGAGTTCTTGCAAACAAAAAATCTTAGATCTAGATATAATATAATTTCACTGATTATCTCATGGCTAGGTAAGTTTTAAAAGGATTAGTTCTATATTTCTAGATTGTCATAATTTAGTAAAATTAGTATACTATTATTATAATTAAAGTGACTGATTAGTCTGATACTGTCACTTTATTTATTAAATGTAAAATCACTAAATTTAGAAATCCTTATAATAGTCTATTAAATAGAAGACTCAAAAGTAAAGAAGAAAGTATACATAAAACACTGAACCATAATCTTCAAATACAAAAACAAAACTAAATAAAATACCGGTACTTAGAAAGACACAAAGATAAAGACACTATTCCTCGTTCCATATGCTAGGACAAATTTGTACAGTAAATGCTCCTTCTTCCCTAGTGCTATTAGAGCATGGAATGGGCTGCCTGTGCCAGCCAGGAAAACCAATGACTTGGCAGAATTTAAGTCATTGGTTAACATGCATGACTAGATGCATGATGCGTAGGACATAATGTTCTTTTTTGAAGTAACACATGTATTTTATAATATAACATTGTGTGTAAAGCGTAATTCCACACATCTGGAAAACTTCCAGAGATTGTACCAGTACCGATACCAACGAAACCAAAAGTAGATTATAGCGCTTCGTATATTTCTCCTCGGCTTTCAATACCATACAGCCACATCTAGTGATAAACAAACTGAGTAACTAAAATGTCAGCCCTCACGTACAAGCATGGGTTCTAAACATTTTAACCCAACGTTCCCAGTACTGGATATGTTAAAGCCAACAACACCAAATCATCAACTTGAGTACTATGTGCAGGTTCTCCACAAGTTTGTGTACTTTCTCCTGTACTGTACACTCTTTACACTAATGACATAAGAAGCATCTATGACTCAGTTAAACTCATTAAATTAGCTGACGATACTGCCATTGTTGGTCTTATTTCAGGAAACGGAACTCAGTATCGAAGCACGATAGAAGAGTTTACTAATTGGTGCACTGACAACTTTCTAGAACTGAATGTCACAAAAACTAAAGAACTTATAATAGATTTCAGAAAGAAAAAACAGATGATATATGAACTCCAGATAAAGACTACATCGATACAACAAGTGAAGTCATATAAATATCTAGGCATCATCATTGATAACAAGCTCTTATGGGAAGAGCATCTTGGAACTCTGGCAAAGAATGCAGCCCAGCGACTATTTTTCCTATACTAACTCATTAGCTTTAAACTAAATAAGAAGATCTTAGATAATTTTTATGGCACGACTATGCAAAATCTGCTAACATACGACTATTTTTTCTATACTAACTCAAAAGCTTTAAACTAAATAAGAAGATCTTGTTGGCAAAGCAACGCTTCATCTAAACTGTTGCGCCACCTAGAAAAATTATAAAAAGGGCATCAAAAATCACACGCATAACATTACCATATTGAAATGAACTTTATGAACAAAAATGTCTAAAAAAAATCAGAAAAATCTTTTGGAAGACAACAAACACCTGCTCCATCATAACTATGTCAAGTCATCGCGAAGTGGGCGACTACTGTCAATCAAGACAAGAACAGTGCAGTACAAAAACTCCTTCGTACCTTACTCGGTCAGACTATATCAATGCCACCCATTGATCAAGAAACAGTAAAAGGACCAAGATGCCTGTGTGTAGTCGCTGAATGAACTCTTTATGTTGTGTCTGTTCTATTTATGTGTATGTTTCTGTTGTGTTGTCTGTAAATGAGAAGAGTCCTTGTAATCACAACAAATTTCCATAAGGACCAATAAAGCAGTTTTAGTCTTAGTGTTGGTTACAACATTGAATACCGGGCTTAGAACAAAGTAAAGTCATTACCTACTAAATCTTAAACACTAACAATTTTTCAAGACTTTTAAGCTACTCTGAGGTTAAAGTTCATGAATATTGAATGGCTTTTGTAACAATCATACTTGACTTGATTGATAGAAATATTGATCTCCACACATATACAATGATTATCTCTTGCAGCTAAGAATTTACAATTGCTTGAAGTATTTATTTATTTATTTTGTGTATCCTCAGAATATACTTTAACTGCCCTCTCTTAAAGATTGCAAACAGTGAACGAATGATGTTGAGATGGATCCTGTTGGTCCTTATGTTAGCTTTAGTACTTTTAGCTGTCTTGACCTTAACAAATGTCATTCATATATCCAGCACTAAGACTTTAGATAGTATCAATGAATTACATTATGGCATAGTGATAGACTGTGGTAGCAGTGGTAGTAGAATATTTGTTTATTATTGGCCTACACATTCAGGGAATCCTAAAGATCTTCTAAATGTGCAACAACTTTTAGATTCATCAGGCAATGCAGTTGTCAAAAAAATATCACCAGGTAAGGTCTACATCACTTTGAACTAAAAACAGAAACATTTTTTTAAAACTAGATCTCTAGATAAAAGTTTAGATTGCAACTAGGAGAAAAAAAAAGATACAGTATAGGATATAGCTTTCTCATTCTAAGTAGTGAAATACTTAGCATTGTTTTGCCTAAACTTCAAAGTTGATAGTGTACTTATTATGTTGCTAATTTTGCTTTCATAGAATTACACTAATCAGAATGTTAAAACTGATGTCAGTACTGGTACGTTTGCATATAAATTT